CAATATACATAACCAATTAAAATAATTAATGAAATATTTAAATAAAAAATTAAATTAAATATTAAATAAATAATTTAATAAATAATTAATTAATTTAATTGTTTATTTAAATTTTTAAGTAATTACTTTAATTGTTTGTGTATATTATTTGTTTAATATATAATTATTTATTTTTTACTTTATTTGTTTATTTAAACATTTCATGAATTATGTTAATTATTTATGTATATTTTTTATTTAAGTAAATAATAAATAACTAATTGAAATAATAAACTAATTGAAATGATAAATAACTAATTGACATAAATTCAATAAAGAAGCAAATAAAATATTAATTAAGCAATAAAAATAATTACTTAACATAAATAACAAATAAATATAAATAAAAAAATACTTTAAAAAAGTAATTAAAAAATTGAAATAAATAATTAACATTTAAGTAATAAATAATTAATTTAAATGAACCATAACAATAAATAATAAAAATAAGTGATTAAATATTAAATAAACAATTGAAATAAATAATTAACATTTAAAACAAACAATTAAACATTCAATTAACAATTAAAATAAATATTAAATAAACAACTAAACAATTAAAATAAATAATTTAAATACACATTTAAATATTCAATAAATAATTAAATGAACAATTTAAATAAATAATTAACAATTAAATATTAGATAAACAATTTAAATAAACCATAAATAAAAATAATAAAAATAAGTAATTAAATATTAAATAAACAATTGAAATAAATAATTAACACTTAAAACAAACAATTAAACACTTTATCAAAATAAATATTAAATAAACAACTAAATAATTAAAATAAATCATTTAAATATACATTTAAATATTGAATAAATAATTTAAATGAACAATTTAAATAAATAGTTAACAATTAAATACTCAATAAACAATTTAAATAAGAAAATAATTAATTTAAATAATTAATTAACAATTAAATATTCAATAAACAATTTAAATAAGTAAATAAACAATTTAATTTTCAAATATTATGCTTTATCCATTGTTTCTTACACAAGGTCCAAACATTTTAAATTTTATAGGATGGATTGCTATTTGAACGCTGCCATGAGACAGATTCCCGACAAAGTTACGTCAAACTACAACTTTGTCAGTGTTGCATTAGTCCTAGATTTGTTGAATGAGGAGCACAAAGATCTATTACGCCGATCCTACTTATGACGGTAACTCTGGTACAGTTAGGAGACGTATTCAAGGAATGCGACGATATGTCTGACAAGTTGAAGTTGTGAATGATGTTTATACTAGAGAGCATACTGAGGTGTCATCATAAGAAGATGTCAATTGACATCTTTCATTTGGGGGTTGTTGATGACATTGACACATTCAACAACTATTCATGGGGACAAAACTGACAGTTATGAGCTCTCATCGACGATCCAAAGGTACGTATTGTTTATTTGTGATTTATGTTGTGCGTCATTTCGAAATCTCAATGCATGGTCATTAACTCAATGAAATGTTAATATATCAGTTTGAAGTGCTCACTGAGTTGACACCTTTGATCGAGGAGGAGGGTCGGAGTCATATCCGAAGAGATATAGCCTGCAAGCGATAGGGGATCCCAAACAGTGACAGAGAGTAGCGGAGATGGTGACAGGGAGGGTGACGGTGGAGGTGTGGGGATGTACACAGAGGTTTCATTAGAATCGTTATGTGATCCGTAATTGTAATGATTTCAAATTTAAGCATTTTTTTAAGACGTTTATAATACTTTAGTTTTTATGTAATTGTATGATAAATAATTAATTACTCTTAATTACATATAAAACACACTATAAATAAAGAAAATTGAGGAAATCAGTAACACACTATAAATAGAAAGTACATAGGATTTAAATAGATATTACACATTCGTTGGGTAGAGAGTAACATACTATAATCGGGAACTTCTCACTCGACTTCATTTGGTAAAAGAAATATAGTTTCAAAATTCTTGAATAATGTTCGATGTATTGAAAATGTGACCGTGCTTAAAGTTTTACTCCTATCTCTGCTAGATATTCTCATACACTATGTGATTTATGTTCTAATTAAATATTAAATAAATAATATACATAATAAATTAAGATATTTAATTAATGAGATATTTAAATAATAAATTAAATTAAATATTAATTTTTTATTTGAGTAAGTGTTTAAAATAAATAAATAAATAAAGTAATTAAATATACATAACCAATTAAGGTAATTAATAAAAAATATTTAAACGAGAAATCAAATTAAATATTGGATAATTCTACATATACTAATTCATAAGGATGTTCATAATGTACATGTGAAATTCCATGAGTGGAGGATCGAAAAAAAACTGTTTTTCAAATCTCCAATAATGTTATATCACTTGTACATTATGATATAATATTTTTATTTAAATAAGTAACTAAAATAAAGTAATTATATATTAATTATTAATAATAGACATAACCAATTAAGATAATTAATTATTGAAATATCTAAATAAGAAATTAAATTAAATATTATTTTTTTATTTAATTTAGTGATTAAATAAATAACTAAACAAAGTAATTAAATATTAAATAAAGAATATAAATAATTAATTAATGAAATATTTAAATAAGAATTAAAATAAATATTAATTGTTTTATTTAAATAAGTGATCAAATAAATAATTAAATTAATTAATTAATTTTTAAATGCATAATACACATAACCAATTAAGATAATTAATTAATGAAATATCTAAAAAAGAAATTAAATTAAATATTAATTTTTTATTTAATTAAGTGATTAAATAAATAATTAAACAATAAATAACTAATATACATAGCTAATGAAGACAATTAATTAAAAAATATCAAATAAGAAATTAAAATAAATATTAATTTTTATTTAAATAAGTGATTAAATAAATAATTAAATATTAAATGAACAATATATATAACCAATTAAGGTAATTAATAAAGAAATATTCAAACGAGAAATCAAATTAAATATTAATTTTTTTATTTGAGTAAGTGTTTAAAATAAATAATTAAATAAGGACCAATTAAGATAATTAATTAATGAAATATTTAAAAGAGAAACCAAATTAAATATAATTTTTTTTATTTGAGTAAGTGTTTAAAATATATAATTAATTAATTAATTAAATATACATATATCAATTAAGATAATTAGTTACTGAAATATTTAAATGAGAAATCAAATTAAACATTAATTTCTTATTTAAACAAGTGATTAAATGAATAATTAAATTAATTAATTAAATATTAAATAAATAATATACATCACCCATTAAGATAATTAATTAATGAAATATTTAAACAAGAAAGCAAATTAAATTTTAATTTTTTTATTTAAGTAAGTGTTTGAAATAAATAATTAAATATAAAGTGAAAACTGTTTGGTTTTTCAATTTGTAACTTGAGGATATTTTTATCTTTTTAAATAAAATTCTATCTTTTTAATTGTATAAATTATTTAAAAATATTTTTGTCTTTTACTCAACAAATAGCCATTTTGAATATTGGCAAAAACTTTTGATCAAAGTGAAAAAAAAAAAAGAAAAAAAAAAAAAAGAAGAGCATTATGACTTGTCTAATTTCAAAAGTAACCCTCAAAAATCTAAAGCGAAGCACATCTTTGACCTTTTCCTTTCCTTTCCTTTCCTTTGTACACTAGGAAATGGAGAAATAAACCTTACAAGGATCAGCAAAATTTCAAGCTGGAAATACATATTTCACACCCAAGAACACCTCATCATGTCTCAGTAAGTACCCTATGTGTATATTATTCATAAATGAGTTCAAGATTCTGATGGGATTTTTCTTTTCTTGATTTTTGCAGATCTGAATCTTACCCAAGAGAATCAACCACCACCACCGGCGTCCATGTCACCGCCCTAGATGGCCTGGTAAATGTTAATTCCCTCTTTACAATAGCAGTCTTTGTGGGTCTCTCCTTGACGACTCCCGGCCAGCACAGCCTTGAAAACCCATCTGCCTGCGATGCCGGCGTCGACGTGGCTGAGAAACTCCTGGTTTTCGAGGTGGTATCTTTCAGCTTCTTTCTGTTTTCCTCTCTAGTGGCCCAAGGCCTTAAATTGGCCATTAATTTGTTGAATAGCAAGGATGTAGATGAGATCTTTAGGGCCCATATAAATTTGAAGGTGTTAAGGTTGGGGATGTTGGCCTCCGCCGTTGGTTCTGTGATGGGGTGCTTGTTTTTGATGCTGTCAATGGTAAATGTGATCCAGATTAGATTGGGGATGTTATCTTGTGGGAGTAAGTCGGCCGTGCACTCTGTGGCGGCACTTGTGGTTCTGATGACCTCTGCACTTGCTTTTTATATTTCCACTGCTGTGTATTCCTTTCTTCATTGAATCAAATTGTTCGAAAATATCTATGTCTATGCATTATTAGAATGTGCTAAGATTTGGATTAATGTTAACTTGGAGGATTTGAAGTTCTTTGTATGATTAGCTAGAGAAAGTTTTGGTTTAATTGTTGTATCAGTGTGTAAATTTGAGTTGATGATCATATGGTTATTTCAATTCAAGTTTGATGAATCATCTACCTCAATAATGTTAATGCCCTTAGTTACACATTTATGGAATTAATCCAATAGATGTACATAATTTGAGCCTCGAAACTGAGATATTTACTTGTCTTGTAGCTGATGGAAGTGACATTCTAAACTGCGATATTACCTAGTATTTTCTAATTCCCAGCTTAAAACTATGTACCACGTTGCTAATATTGTCAAGTGGAATGGTTTCCTCGAATAAATACCTCAACAATCCTTGTATATAGATTCTATTTTGATCTTGATATCCTAAATAAGAATGACTTGATTTGTTAATTTACCTTCGATTTAATTGTGTTTTGGGATGAATGGTCTTAGGATATTTCTGGGATATGATGTTCATGTTTGATGCTTTTTGCTTAATGTAACAATGTTTAGCATATAAGTGCACGTGCTTTGATCATTGTTTATGCTTTTCTGTGTAGGATGAAAGTTGATACAAGCTTAGTATTTCTGAAATAAGTAATTTGGTTTTGATATTAAGGTATATGAATTGAGATGGTTATCAGCTGGATTTGGTTTCATCGGGAGAAATTACTCACCTTTGTAGAATACAATAAATGAAATTTGGTTTAGTTTTCAGTTAGCTTAGAAATTCCTCGTTCTTCTACTTAATTACCAACTTATTTAGTATTATGTTCTTTGAAAGTGATAATGATGAACCAACCCCTTGGAGAAGGTTATTTCTAGACCAGGTTCCATTTTTATCAAATGCTTAATGAATTTTCAGTTCTCATAAATGGGTGAAGCGATACTTAATCTTGGGACCTTTGGCTGTTCATACTATGTTGAATTTACCTTGTCCAGAAATTTAAATTAGTAGAAAGAAGACACATAAATGAATTTCATGCAATGCTCGAGTCTCGACCCAGCCTTCATATAATGATCTAGAATTGCTGACAAACTTCTTTGTTCTTGTGCTTTCAGTGGTGTATGTGATTGTGCTAAGACTTTGGATATACTTGTGTCAAGGCGGTAAAGCAGTTCATTTAATTTTTGCTTCAAATATGCAGTAGCACACGCAATTTGATACTATAACATATAAGATTTTAACATCGTTTCTTTATAACTGTTCTTTACTATATCGTTCACGTCACCAAACATGCCATGATGACAAGCTTGTGCAATTCATATTTGAAATTAGTTACCTTGGTGGAATATAAGAAGCATTTTAGTTTAGTTTCAGCTAGTGTCTGAGAAAATAAGGTATGCTCAAGCTTTTTGCAGCAAGATATGACACTTACAGCACCACAAACAAAGCTTATTCCAACAAATTTAAAGGTGGGTCTTTTGATTCTTAGAAGCTCGATAAATTTTGAAATTCATCATTTATAGCTCCTATAGTATGTCTAAACACTAGATTGAATAAGATTAGATATAATTTACATTTAACTATCTTGTAACATTTGTGACATTAAACTCCTGTTATTAGAGAAATCAATTTTAATAGCGCCATCTCAAATTATTTCTAACATTAAATTAGTCATTGCTAGTTTCTAAATTAACCAATTCTGGATAGAGATAATAAGTCCAAGAGTAGCTCAAGGTTATTAAGGGTTCGTTAGAGAAGACTTTTTGAAAAGTTAAAAGATGCTTATGAGACTAAAAATTGCTTTTTGACCCGATTAAATAATTTTTTAAAAGCGTTTTATCTGATTAAAAGAGTTTCAAAAGGAGGTTTGCTTAAGGTAATTTTTTCAAGAAACTCTTGTGGAAGCATAAGCAAAATTAAAATTTCTATCAAATGGGTATTAAATTAGGCTCGAAACAGAAAAGTTTGCAACAAGGTATTAAAAAACCAATGATTTTCTGTTGAAATTTGTAAAAATAATCACTCCCAAATATATTTGGCCTTTCGACAAATGGCAATAACCTTTCTCTAGGTGGGCCACAGACCACCAATTTCTAGTACAGGCTAAAAGCCTTCACAGATTGTAATACAGGCCCGGCCCATAAATATTAGGTTCGGCCTAGAAAAATACTAGCCCAACAGTTGGTCTTGTGCGTGCTTTTGCAGAGTAATGACCATTCAAAATGAAAATCAGCCAAAAGTTCAACTTCTTTTGACGACTACCCATCTAGTGCAGTTGGACTGGATATCTGCAATCGAGAATTGGATGACAGAATTCTGTTCATATTTCTACAAAGACGATTGCTTCTGTTAGTTCTGACCATGGATTCACAACTGAACTGGTGGTCAGAAATCCGAATAAATGCAATGAAACATGGTTGTGCTCACTGATAACTCTCAGAGACGTAAAACAGGTTTAACGACTCTAATGTGGATTGTTTCAGCTATTCATGCTGCTGTTAATTTTGGACAGTATGTGTACACTGGTTATACAGCAAATCGCTCTTCGTCATGTAAGTGTATTCCAGCACAATGGTCACAACAGTTTGCTGAATTTCTTAGAAATCGCAGTTTTATCTCAATATCTTACCGACTAGGTCTGAGATGACTCCTAGCCTATCACTGGTTGAGTTTCTGTCTGATGAAGCAAAATTTGGTCAAGAGCTATCACTAAAGTGGATAGATGATCAAAGGATTCACCAGAGCTTCGATAAGTTTGCTGCTGAACTTGAAGTAGAGAAAAAGATAAGAAAGAGAAACTGAGACCCAAAGCTTAAGAATAGACAAGGACCTGTCAACATTGAGTATGAGCTTTTATATCCTGGTACATAAAATATGGGATCACTAGGAGGTACCACGGGAAGAGGAATCCCTAATCGGAGATTGGTCACAGATTATTATTTATCCATAAATAGAACATAATATGATTCCCTTGCATGATTGCACGTTATATAATTCACTAGGGTAAAATTTAATGACTCACTCATCATTATTTCTTCTCATAAATTCAAGTCTTCTAGTTTGGAAATGGTATTAGGCTCAACACAAACAACTCATGTAGAATATATCTATGCATGAACAAATTGAATATGAGCTCCTTTCGTTCAACTGAAACATGTTCATCAACACTGTAACCATATAACTTGACCTCATTTAGAATGTCACATTTCCTACTAATAAATAAAGTAGATTACGTTAAGTTGTTTACCAATCAATCATCAAAGCATCGATGGAGGGTTTGGATATGTTTCTCCAAGGGATTTGATGATGTTTCTGGGGCTATGCTCCGTGGTTGTCTGCCCTCCAGAATGCCTCTAAGTCATGGAATCCCTCAACCCTCAATCCAAACCTGCAGCTTCTTAACCTCGCCACAGTTGGAGCTCCAACACAGATATAGGAATTCTTTAGCTGAACTTCCGTGAAACAAATTCTGGTGCTTCTTCCATTTTTGATTCGTTGTCAATCTTTTGCTGTGGTAAAATCTTTGCTAATTCATATCAATGTTGCGCTAGAGTTTATCGTATTTGTTGGGTTTTAATAACCAATAAATCCTGGGCAATGACACAGAATGAATAGCTATCAAGGCCTATCTCCGGGATACATCAATAACAAAAGATGTTAAAGGTCGTCTAAATTAATCATTTCGTCATTGTTCCAGTTGATTACTGATAGATCTTCCTCGGACTTGGCTTCTGTAAGTCTCTCAGTTTCTTCCAAGGCTTTGTCCAATGCATCTGCTAAGTCTACTTCCCATAAACCTAATTTACAGACACTTTTGTACGTCTTGTAACTTGCTGCTGCTAATCCTTTTGAGATCATATCTTTCAGAGATTCACTGAAGATTTCTCCAGAATCCATGATCCTCAGAAAACGTTCTGAAAACCCAGGAGTCCAAAAAACAATTACTGCACAATTCTTATCCACCATTTGAACATCAAATTCTTTGGAAAACACTTCATGTGAATCATGTAGAAGGGCTTTCAGCATTCCAGCAGAAATCCCACCTTCTAACCCCCATAAGAAAACCAAATTGTCGATGCTAATCCTTCTACTATTTTTATTCCAAATTCTAACATCTTCATCGATGGGATCCCCAAACCTTGTCGAGGAAGGGTTAAATTTATTGGCATGGCATTGAATGGCAGATGACAAATGGTTATAGTCTTCTTCAAAAGTTTCAGGATTGATTTTTAATACGGAGCACAACTTGGCAAACAGCTCGCTTATTCGCAGAACATTACGGCCATGAATCTGGACTTTGTCTGCCTCAGCTGATGTTAAGAAATTATCACCAGTTAGTTACAAGTTATGAAGAATAAAAAGCATTTAAATTATTAGCTTGATTTACCATGCGTGATATCTATAAGCATACATGACAGAGAAGATATCTGAAAGAAGCAATGATTCTCTTTCTAAATATTTATTCCATATTTAGAAATAAAGCACAAGCGGACTAAGGGTAAATGCACTTACTAGGCAAAGCATATATATATAGTTTGTAAATTATGAGATAAGATACACATAAGTACTTGCCTCGGTGAGAAACTTCCATATCTATTGGCGCAAAGAACTTCCTCCTCAAATAGGAGATGGACGCGGGTAGATTATTCACCTTTTCAACAGGGCCAATTTCCTTCATAAGATGGTTAACATCAAGTACATGAGGAAAGACCAAAAGCAAGGAACTTCTGAATTCATTGATTGTTGAAGGAAGTGGAGCCAGGAACTTTGAATATATAAATGTAAAATCTGCATGAGTTAACCCAATAAAGTGTAATGAGTTTATCATTAAAGCAAGTTTTGCAGGCTTAATCTCTGATATAATTAAAAAAGTTCATAAAGAGAGACCACTGAGTGAATTGTGAGCAACAACAGGCTTCTGAGAAGCGGAAATCAAGTCTATCACCTCTCGAAAGCCACGAACACGTTTATTACGTTCCTCTTCCATATCCTGAAGTTCCTTCTGTAGTTTGAGAGAACAAAAAATGTTAAATAGACCAGGTTAATCATAAGACAATCATAAAAATCATATTTAAGAAAAATGAATTCCTTAATACCTCGAGAAGGTTCTTGTCTTCTTCTGAACTTGTCAAAACAGCTCGAACAGCCTGTATTCCTCCTCCTCTTGCAGGAACTAATATAGGTACGACATCAACAAACTCCTTCAACATCTGCAGCACAATTCAAATACTTAAAAATATATCAGGAGATACATCAAACTTAATCATATTGTAGTAAGTAATAAATTACTCACTTCTAATACAAGTTGCACTTGACGTTCACTGCAGACAGATATAATTAAGCACGGTCTAGAGCCGTACACTTCACTTCCCGAGACAAGTTTTCTCAACACACTGATCAAAACATCTGCAAATGCAGAAGAATACATTAGAATATAAAAAAATAGTAGGTACAACATAAATTAAATTAACACTTTGCTAACCCTCTGTCTTCTTGTTTGAATCTTTACAAGCATTTATCCAATGTCTAACTCGAGATTTTGTGCTTTCTCTAAAAACAGAATCAGCAACTGAATTGGTTGATGAAGATGGCACCACAAAGCTACTGGTTGATGAAGGTCCAATTCGATCTGCTGCAGCTAGTTCTTGTGCTCTGGACAAGTATGATATACCTGTCCGAAAAAGAAACTCTAGATTTGGAACAGGAGTACATGTTGGCAGGAAATGATGGAAATGCTTACTTACTGTACCAGAACCTTTCTACAGAATCAGACAGCAACATGACAACTATAACACTCCCTCCCCGACTTTTTTCCCACCCATCCCCACTCCCAGGGAAAAAAATGCTACGGAAAGAAAAAATGGAAACGCCAATAATGAAGGAAATCGAGAGAATAGCTTAGAGGTTAAGATGAGTCTGCACACAAGTGTGTCACTGATAATTACTTACATGCTAGTTATTGTAAGATATAATTAAAAATATGAGCAGCATCAGCTCAGCTACAACATGACCACCTCTTTATCAACCTATTATTTGCAACTTCATTTATCCATTTTAAGTTCCAAGTTGGAATTAGACTTTTAGTTTTGATGAAATGTAATACAATAATTTTTTATGGTTTATTATGAGAATAAATATTTTGTTTTTGTGATTTTTTGAATTACTTTATTAGTTACATTCAATGTTATACCTTAAATTGCACTGAGGCTTATGCCTCACCCCATGAAAGTATCGCCTCAACACCCAATGTAGTCTGTCTAAATGCTGAGAACTACTCTTCTAGCTCCATGAAGAACTACATCTCCTTAATTTAATTGTCTAAATATTTCTACCTCATAAGGTTTCAAAAGTTTCAGAAAAGAAACAGGGATGCATATTCAACAATTTTCGAATTCCACCGAGTTGATGTCACGTACCATCATATATGCAGGCATTAAAATCAAAACCTTCTCGAGCCATAGAGGCCAAATATGACGACTGGCATGAAAAGCTGTAAGAAGGCATCGCAATTTTCAACTCATCCCTCGGAAACAAATGGAAGTTATACCTGCAAAAATAGAAAGAAGATTGTCATTCATGAAAACTGCCCTATGAAATGGAATTGTCTAAATAACACCAAGTCTTATCAAATGGAGTCTTATTGGGTTTAACTAGTTCAGTAATTCAACTGTTTGTCTGTTTTGTGTCCCCTTCTACTCTATTTTCTTCTCGTCTTCTTATGCTTTTTAACAATTGCTAAAACTGTTTTTTATTCCATTGAGTTGATTTCAACACTAAAGTTCCTCTAATCTCGTTGAGTTCTAAATACTGAATTGACAAATTGGTATGAAGTGCCTTTATAAGACCTTGAGCATAGCCTCGGCAGATGGTGTTGACACTATGAGCTATACTTCCCAAAAGTTGACTTGTGATGTACGGAGATGCCACCACTTTAACAAAAAGTGGGAGAGGCTTCACCCACGATCAAGCCCAAGAATCTACTCAAAGCAACTAGACTACTAGTTCTGGTGAAAACTCTTCTTGTTCTTACTATAGAAATCTCTTTTCAAGCCCATCTATTTTATTTCTTGTAGGTCATTACTCTAGCCATTTGGAATTATGGGTACAAATCAGTAGATCATTCTCCTGCATTTTCCAGAACTAAGGCACTTCTCCACTGGCAAAGGACGGACGCTGTCAAACCTGGCAGAGCAGAGGTCGTGAGTTCGAAACATGGGGCTCTTGGAAGGCAAGGATTTATTCTTGGAAGGCAAGGGAACATTTGGAAGGCAAGGATTTATTCTTGGAAGGCAAGTGGGAACTTGGAAGGCAAGGATTATTCTTGGAAGGCAAGGTGCAACTTGGATTGGCTTGCTCCTCTTCTTGTTCTTACTATAGAAATCTCTTTTCAAGCCCATCTATTTTATTTCTTGTAGGTCATTACTCTAGCCATTTGGAATTATGGGTACAAATCAGTAGATCATTCTCCTGCATTTTCCAGAACTAAGACCTCCCAAAATAAAATAAAAAATTGCTGATACCTCAAAAACATATAAATTATTCTCTTTGTGCCTTCTGCAAATATTTCTTGGCCAAATCTACTAGATCTCTAAGGATTTGGGGACACTTAAATGTTACAAAAGTCAAAAACTTGCCAGCATCCAAATCCCATCCTTCTAGTAACAATAAATAACGATAACAATAACATTAATTATAAATGTGGATCGTGATTCTCAGCATTAAGAAAAATATTCCTGTCACTTCAAGCAATAGTTAAAAAAACAAATTCTTCTGACATANAATGTGGATCGTGATTCTCAGCATTAAGAAAAATATTCCTGTCACTTCAAGCAATAGTTAAAAAAACAAATTCTTCTGACATACCCAAATCATTCACTTCACAGCTTACATTCTATTAGCAGTCACTCAAAAGTGAAATAGGTATAAAATATAGGCCACAGCTAATGAAAGATTTGGGGAAAAAATTTTACGGGTGAACTATGAGCTTGGAAGCTTTGACCGAGAAAGGGCAGATTGCGAACTGAAGAACCTGAAACCGCTCGGCGGCGCGTTTGGATTTGAGATATGCTGTCTCGTCGGTGTCGATGGGGAGAACCCTTTGCCATGGAGCTGAGTATGCACCGGTTTGCTGCAACGACACGGCTATGAAATCGGAGTTGGATATGTGAGTCTTGATTTCTTCAAAAGTCTCTGACAAATTGGATTTCGTTACTTGCTTTATCCGCCACAGATTCTGGTGACGGCTGCCTCGGTGGTGGTGAACGGCGGTCGGGTAAATTTTAGTGCAGAAAAGGCGTTGGTGAAGCATTTGTAAACGCGGGGACAGCAAAAATTGCAAAATTATAATTAATGAACATTTAGAGCTTGTTTGGAGATTTTAATTCAGTTAAAATCAATTTTTTTTACAGTTATTTTACTATTTCAGTAGTTATTTTCGAATTTTTCTCCCACATATACAATTCACTTTATTTCTAACGATCAAAAAATTAATTAACAAAATCTCTACTAAACAAGAATTTAAATAGAATAATTAAAGATTCGGGAACCATTTGTACTTTTCGAAAAAGTTAGGAACGGGGATGAAATTTTCCCTTTTATTTAAATTATTTTGCTATATAAGTGCAATAATTTTATTTACTAATTTGTCGGAATTGTAATAAATTATGTCAAAATTATTCAAATATGAAAAAAAAATATACAAGTTTTGGATTTATACCTCGAATGTGCACTTCCATGATTCAATGATCTGAAACATGGACGAGACATTTCTCAGTTACTCTATCAACGATCACGTGTTTTTCAAATTCTTAAAAATGTTGAGAAAATGTAGGAGAGAGTGTCTCTTGACAAAACAATCGTTGCAACACTTTTATGAGAGATTAGTGATCAAATTCAACATCGTCGCTACTTTATTAACCTTAGTTAGCTCAAAACAATGGACTTAAAACTTGTGGCCTACTCAATCCTACTATTAACTCAAAACTCGGCCTAGAAGTGATCCTCAAATTTGCAGTCAAGTACCAATTCCCGTCGTAGGCACTTTAAGAAGGTTCTACTTGGGGTGGATCATTGGAGGTGTGCCATATGTATCGATAAAAAGGAATTAGGCAAAAAAATAAATTTTCAATTGAATAAATTTTCAAATGAATTGAATCTTCTGATTTGAAATTAGTGTTGAAAGTGATTTGGACAACATTGGTTTTATCTTACTTCACAGATGATCTTTTACATAGTTTCTCCAATTAAGAAAACAGGAAAAAGATTTCAAATTATTTAAATTAGATGAGTCAAATGAATCAAGATCCAAGCTTATGCCTCGACTCATCCAGGTTGGGCTGTGTTATAGACTTGGTAGTAATAAGGAAGCCACACAAACTCAAGTTTTATCTATCTGATCTGTCGACAATTCTGGAATTTATATCTCCAATTTTAAATAAATTCTTGATACGCTGCAATATACTAAAACTCAAAAGGCCATGAATTTTGGATGCTAAGTCATTTGGGGAAAAAACTCCTTGAATGATGCTACGAATATCGTTAATCATCATCGCCATAAAAACCGTAATTTCCATCCAATATGTATAATTCTTCTCAAATAGGGCAGGCACCCAACCAATAGGGGGACATGTGTCCCCACGGAAAAACAGGGCCTATGTGGCCCCGTTTTCCAAGAATAACTCATCCAACCCTGTTTTCCAAGAATAACTCATCCAATATTACCTTTGTCAGTTCATACAATAGTTAATTATTTTAGAAGTATCTATGTAATAGTTAAGTCTTTGTTAAGAATTCAGATTAGTACAAAGGGCTGAATTCTTATAGTCCTAAAATGTTCCCAAAAAAATAGTTGTAGAAGGTACAAACCAATTCTGATGGCATATCGTAGGGCAAAAAACAAAGAGTCAGAGATATACCACTGACTGTCCAAATATTCTGTCTCTTCATGTCCTGCATTTTCTGTCAGTACTTTTTACCACTCCACAGTAAATATAGAAGAAACAAAAATAAATAAATATCCCAGGAAAACCCTGTTAATCTTCTTACTAATTGTGGAATATTAATATTCCATCTTTGAAAGTGAACCATCATCACCATGTGCAGTTATCCATCTCCTTCACTAAACCTTTTGAATCATTCTTAGCAATAACTTTTTACAATCTATCACCTCATTCTAGTAAAGCGGTTGCTCCATATGCGGTAATCGAACCAGCCTGCCTAAGAGGCGGTGGTTTACTCTCCGGTGGGTGTAAACAGTTCGTGTCTGATTTTAACCAAGTTGGATAGTAAGTACCGAAGAATGGTCAACAATTTGAGTTTGATTTTTACCAAGTTGGATACTAAGGATGGAAGAATGGTAATCACTTATTCTTAAAATCAACGTTGTTAAGACCAAAGAGTCGAGCGGGAAAGCTCTCTTGAGAAGAGTATCGGATTCTTCTGACAGATTTTATTCTGGTTAAAAGGACACTGCATTTTACCAATTCTGTTAGGCTTGTCGTCCATAAATGCTTTATATATCAAGATATGGATGAAAATAGAAACTTATCAACAGATTTTTGAAGTGACAACAGAAAATGGTCCCTTAGAGCAGAAAACAGAAAAGCCCATAAACAAACAAAGAAGCGTTCAAACATATATGGCAGCTTTGGAGACAGCAGTTGAGTGGCTGAGACCCCTTGTAAAAACAAAGGCATGGGACTACAGTATTATTTGGAAGTTAGGGGATGACCCTTCAAGGTACTATAATTATTAGCACTTATTTTCAAGAAAATTATCACTTTTTTTCGACCCTTTTCATTTCTTGATTGTGTTTTCAGGTTTATAAAATGGGGGGCTTGTTGTTGCAGTGGAGCAAATGGCGGACACTTCAAAATGAAAGAAGAAACTGGTTTGGAAAAGCATTTGATTATTGAATGCAAAGATACAAGAAATAAGCATCCAGTTAGAACAAAGGCTTGCAGGGCTCTTGCACAATTTCCATCTTCCATAGGATTGTATTCTGGGTAAGATTCATTTTCTGAGAATCTTCATGTAAACATTGTTTTTTTCTTGATTTACTATAATTTTGGGCATAATTTTGGTACTAAACCAAGAAAATCTTCTAATACTGAGGTTTTAGTTACAATCAGGATACATGGAGAGGTAGTGATATCAAAACAACCAAAATGGCTAACCCTTGCAAATGCCTCTATTTCGAATAGTTTATCTGTGAGTATCTCACTACACATTTCTAGCTCAGTAATTTAGTTTCCTGTGTTAAGATTTTACCACTAATCCCCTCGAATGTTAGACTGATCCAATATAGCTCTAAATCTGCATGCTTTGCCTGTTTTTCGTTTCTTTTATTGCTAGGCTGAAATAGGGATTTAGACTTTGGAGATATATTTCACAAAGTTGTGCTAATTCATTGATTGGCATTATCCTTGGATCATTGCTCCAGAGAAATGATTTCATCCTTTCTAGTCGAGCCTGATCGTGGTGTGGACTTTGAGCCTGGACCAGATTGTCTGTTTGATGACATTCTTTCATGAAGTCCAACAATAGTAATGAGGGAGGAAAAAAAATTAAAATTAAAATTACAACAGTAGTTTGATTTGGTTAAGGACTTTTGGGTTGAATTTTTTTTGGCCAAATTATTTTGTCGTGAATTCAAATCAGTATGCTTTCTTCCATTGCAGGAACCTGTTGGAACCCAAGTTCTGATTCCAGTTGCTGGTGGTTTGATTGAGCTCTTTAGTAAAAGCCTTGTAAGACTGTTCATTTTTTGAAAATGTAATGAATTATATTCTTCTGGAGTAACATTTCTGAAAGAAAATTCTCATTTTGTTTTCCAGGTACCAAAAAACCAGGAAATAATAGATTTCATCTTTTCTCGGTTCACAAGTTCTGCAGAACAAGAAATCATGTCTGAGAAGAGCTATATCAATTTTAACCACCAAATTGATTGGCCCCCATCACTTCATTATTTGAATTTGAATCCTGAAATATCACAACTAAATATTGATTCTAGCTTTGAGGGATCATCCATTATATCGACCCTTTCAAACGAGCATCAATCATTTAACATACACGATGATCATGTGTTTGGAAAGATGTTGCCTGAAAAATCAAGCGGAAAATATTCAGAAATACCTAGCAGCAATTTGAATTTGAAAAGGAAGCAAAACGCCGATGAGAATACCAATTTGAAGGATTTGCAGAGGGGAGGAAAGGAGCATTACCAATCAAAGAATCTTATCACAGAGAGAAACCGAAGGAAGAGGATAAAAGACGGGCTCTTTGCTCTTCGCTCATTAGTCCCACTGATTTCTAAGGTTTATATAGCATGTTAAGCCAAATTTAAAAATTACTTTCTCAAAGTAACTTTTCTTGAAGTTACTTGTAAGCGTAAACGATATCTATAACATTCCCAGAATTGTTCATCCTCGTGAATTGTCATTTTCTTTGCTACCAGATGGATAGAGCTTCTATATTGGGGGATGCAATTCGATACATAAAGGAGCTGCAGGAGACAATTGAAAAATATCAAGATGAACTCAGAGAAATGGCAGAGGACTGCAACAGAAACAATGCTAAAACCGAGCTTCGAAGCTCAGTCGAGGAGCATGCAGGCCGGGAATATTTACTGGCCGCAGACATTGACAAAGGTTATTGCGGTGCTAGTGAAAAGAAACAAGCACAGGTAAGGAGTTCTGTTTCAGTTTCTTTTTTTTCATTTTTTCCTTTTTTTTTTCTTTTCTTTTTTTTTTTTTTTTTTTTAATTTTCCTTTTTTTTTTTTTTTTTTTATAAGTAAAACTTATATATGCAAACATTTTACCTTAGCTAAAGTAATGCTTCAAATTCTTACCTTTGAAATACATAATTAACTTAGTTTTAACTTAAATATTTATTTTAAGTTAATACCCAAAGATCTTTCAAGCATCACTTGTATTGGGATAACGAATTTCGTGAAAAACTCAATCTCTCTTGCCAACACCATCAAGCTCACATCCAAACACGAACAACGTTAGGTAGATGTGTACATTTGGACTCGAAGATAAACTTGCTTAGTCTCTAAGATTATGATATTGCTAACGAAGTTCATTATCAAGAAGAGTTTGTCTGCTTTTTTCCTTTACAATGCTGTCCTTTAGACTGGTGTTGATCAAAAACAAGTTCTATAACGGAAGCATCTTCAACTTTGTATTTATATTAAGAAGTAAAATAATAAACGTATGAATACAATGATGTTACGAAATACATGTTTTCGTTTAGTATGTCAGAAAATGGTATATTAGTAGTGAAATGGGTCAACTTTGAGCCCAAATTTTCGTGGAACCGGTACCTTAATTTTAACGGGACAAGGCATATTCATGTTCTACTCCGCAAGGTGATTAACGTGATATATTTCTTTATCAAAAATCATTTAGAATTGAATGAAATATTCAAAGTCAAAATTACCCACTTGAAACTATCCTAGGGGGTACTAATAGTCTTTGGAAGGGGAGACCAATATCCCATCGGATTCGGTCATAAACTCAAACGTTCGCCTTTGTCTGGTTGGCTCAGCTTGACCCCTGTGTCCATGTCTGTTTTGTCTTCGGGTGCAAGTAAGACCTTATACTATATTAACTTTTTGAACAAAATTTACTTGAATTTTTGAGTCAAATTGTAATTGATCAACTACTTGGGCATTTAGCGAAACTTATTTTGATTGGCTTATTTTTGGGCAATTTTTTTGTATGAATGGTCTGTGAACCGACTAAACAGTCGATCATTAACCCACTTAACCAGTGCAGTATTAAATTAAATTATCTGTTCGAGTTTGGAGACCATTTGAACAATAATGACTGTTCTCAAAAGGTATGAAGGATGTTTGAATGGCCACAAACAAATCTACAAATAATCTATCCCGCTGGAATAATTACACAATTTTCATTGCAAATGTTCTCTACTTTGAATCTCATTCTCGTCTTCAACTCATTCAGGGACCAAAGGCTGAGAATGTATCACGTGTTAGCCTCTTAGGGTACGTGTCCAATACAGAGAAGGATGACTGTTCTCAAAAGGTATGAAGGATGTTTGAATGGCCACAAACAAATCTACAAATAATCTATCCCGCTGGAATAATTACACAATTTTCATTGCAAATGTTCTCTACTTTGAATCTCATTCTCATCTTCAACTCATTCAGGGACCAAAGGCTGAGAATGTATCACGTGTTAGCCTCTTAGGGTACGTGTCCAATAAAGAGAAGCCACATTTCCATTATTCAATTATTGTAACTTTTGTGGGCATCTGATTATGGATCCACCATCATGCCTGATTTCCTTGTTTAGTGACCAACAAAATGTGCACTGAGAAGCAATTCTCAACAATCTCCACCTTCACCGGATCGAACGAGACTGACTTTGATTTCTCTTTCCTCCAATTTCATTTACTTTTGTACCTGCATGCAAGAAATCACCCAGTGTTAAGATTAATGAGACTTAAATAATCTCTAAACTTATTTATTGGTAAAATCTTAGTTTCTATTCCAGCAGGGTTGCACTTGGTAGAATTTGTCTCAATTTAATAATGCCTTGGTCAAGAACATCTCTAATGAAGTGAGATTGACATCAATATATCGTTATCACGAAAGACGTGATTTTTACTAAAGTGGATTGCACTTTGACTGTCAAGAGTATAAAACAATATCATTCCCAATGAATCCTAACTCAGTTAATGGCTCCATAAGCTAGATACCATCTTTGAAAGCAACAAATTTGTTTTTAAAAAAATCATGAAATCGGTGGGCTCAAATTAATTTTCTGATCCTATTGATCATATTATTACGCTATACAAATTACTTTAAGGCAATTTGGTCAGATTATTCAAAGGAGAAATTTATACCCCAGAGTCAACACAATATTCACTGCCTCACTAAGCGTTTTTGTTAAGTTTTAACACATTCTTCTGCTGTTAAATGAGATGGCTCAACACAACAAAAAAAAAATCATGAAATCGGTGGGCTCAAATTAATTTTCTGATCCTATTGATCATATTATTACGCTATACAAATTACTTTAAGGCAATTTGGTCAGATTATTCAAAGGAGAAATTTATACCCCAGAGTCACAATATTCACTGCCTCACTAAGCGTTTTTGTTAAGTTTTAACACATTCTTCTGCTGTTAAATGAGATGGCTCAACACAACAAGTGAATAAGCTAGAAAATTCTCGGCATCAAAGCTTTCCTTAACTTATTTAGAAAAAAATTTGCACTTCAGATGCATAGCCTGTGCGTTTCTTAGACGTGGCGTGAGCCCTTCTAAGCTCCAGTTTAGCACATTTTCAGAAACTCATTTATCCTCAAATTTATTTTCAACCACATTTTATCATACCAACAACTTTTATCAATTTTTTAACCCCACATTTTATCAAAATCTATTAAAAATCTGATTTTTAACAAAATCAAACACGGAAAAAGTCCACCATCAAAACAAACCAGCCAAAATTGTGATAATTAGGCTATACTTAAAAATACCTCATTTTTAAAATTTTTGAATTTTTACCTACAAATAATTTACATTTTTGGAAAATTACCCATTTTCCAACATTTAAATACAAGGAAAGTCTTTGTTCAGGTTAATACAAGCATATTTAAATTCATAATACATGGAAATTCTTTGTTCCATAAACATCGATAAATCCCTCTTTCCCTCCCCATAGCTCATATGCACTCATCATCAACTACCACAATTATTTCCCTCTTCGGACATAGCCTGATCGTGTTAAATTCTTCGGCCCTCCAGCCAGCGTGTGTAGAATTCCAATGCCTGATGCGGTTTGTACTCTGGTACTGCATGTCCAGCTCCCTGCATCATTAAGATTCGAAATTCAAAACTCTACCACTTACAACAGGAATTTTATGATTACTTTTTGAAGTTCTAATCAAGATAATTTGAGTAACTCCAAAATTAATAATAAAAGCACAAAGTTCTGGATACACATACCTTAATGGTGAGGAAGATGAGATCGTTTTCATAGCCCTGTATGTACCTGTATACAATAAAAGGGCAGTTAATAGGTTGGTTTGTCTAATTTTTGCCTTGAGATCTGAAAAGTAGCCACATATATTTGTTTATAGAGGCAAAGAAAAAGCTTTTAAGCAGCCCAAGATGGATCACTTCTGATTAATAAGGATGTTTCAGTCGAGACCAAATACTAAGCTACAAATGAACACGAAGTTAGTGACATACCCGGCTACTTGATCTTTAACATACCAAGGCCTCCATTCATCTACAGTCTTGTATCCAACTGACTTTGTCCAAGCTTCACTTCCAGTAAATGGGACACACATATCATGATCCCCGCTGCCAGAAACATGTTAAGCACGAAACTCAGGATAATCACAATACGTTTCAATTTCATCCATTACACGCAACAATTTATGCAAGGGACGATTTTAATGTTTATGTACTGCTGCACATTGAGCTCTCCTCCCCTCCCTCTCTGTGCGAAAGTGTACATGTATGGGTGGAGTTTTCTGATGAAGTTCAATAATACTTTAAATAGATCTGAACCATCATATTTTCTTTTTCATTTTTATTTTTTTTAAATTGTTCGGCGAGAAGATGAAGAAACTTCAAAAAAAAAAATCCTGTGCTTAAATTCTTTGTCATCCAGGAATTGATTACACAAACGGGAAAGTGAGATGAATGACGGAATAAAATCTAACCATCTCTTTACTTGCTGTAAGTGTTGCAAATGGAATAACTTAATCCCACATCCTTACTCTTGGTAACCAGGGCATTTATCAACAAACAAATTACATCGATGAGGCCGGATGCTGAATTACATTATAGGTTTAGTGATATTCTATACCTGTATATGAGCGCTCGATATCCTCGAGATGTGAGGTTCTTGTGATATTTGATCATGCTTCCAGCATCATGATAAAACATTATTTTTTCTGTACACAGCTCCCAGTTTCCTATTACATTTCCCTGATATACAACTGGACATAAATCACTTTGTTCAAAAGCTGGTGCAATTTGAGATAAGAAAACTTACATTTTCAGCATGAATTGCTTTCCTAACTGCTTCATTGTTCAGCCATGAAGTTGCAACTTCATCATCCTGCATATTTTGTCCAAATAATACGACTATCAGAGGTAAATACCAATAAGGTGTTCAGAAAATAAAGCTCAAGAACTAACCAACTTGGCCACAACGTACATAATAAGAAATTCAAAAGGTCGGAGCAAACAAACACACATAAGAAGGAACATAACTTTGTTGATACTCCAAAAGTGAAAAGATAATGCCTTGTAATAATATTCTACATTCTTGCATTTAAGAAGCACAAAATCTTTCTCAATGGAAGGTTTGACAAATCATAGAGGCATATATAGAAGTTCCTGATGAATTTCCTAGAAGTTTTAGATTAAAGATGTGCCCTATAATGAGCATAACATTATGATTTATTTTAGATAAATGATTTGAGTTGCAATTGGATAGTATCTTCTTTTAATATCAGGACACAAGAAGATTATGTCTAGCCTTCATGCTTAGCATTAGTAGAATATTATTAGATTATGCTTGTTAGCCTGAACAAAAATTTAAGGGACTAGAGAAAAGTTGGGAGTAACTTACAGTGCACTGGATGCTTTCACTATTGAGAAGCTGTGGCCAAGTCGGGACAAGTCCTTCTCTTACAGGTGCTCTTAGTGGCCAGGCACGCCCAAACATTCTTTTTCTCACACGTAGTGGCCTCTCAGTCTCACCTAATTTCCTGAAGCTTAGTGGCAACTTCTCGTTACCAAGTGTGATTTTGCTTGTTGGGTCATGATAGCATGGTTCAAGAATGTCGTATATGTTTAAGTCCTCGATTTCCTGAAATTATTCAGAAATTAAAACCAAACAGAACAAAGTAGCATTAACTGTAGTTCCCTTGGCAACATCTTACTTTATCAACTTTGATAAGCTTGTTTTCACAGTTAAAACTCGTTGGATTATAATAGTTCCCTTGGCAATCAGCATTAACTTCCTGTCACGTGAAGCAAAAAGTATCAGAAATTGTTGCTTAGAAACAAGCAATTTAGACAATGATGTATCTTTGTTTCATTTTTGAAATATCCAAAACACAACAGTAAAATCCTATGCTTCTCTAATATTTTGAATTTCATTCAGGTAATGGACACTTAAAAATGTCTGGAAAATATTCTGCCATTCGAAATTTTGGAAGTAAGCATCCAGGCCAGCCAATTTCACTACAACCCCATTACATTATATTGCAAAAGTATTAAGCTTATTGCTCAGTCTGGTGATTCATTTTCTTGGTAAAGAATATGAACCATTGCTGGACCCTTGGAGACTCTAGCAAATTTGTGTTACCAGATGTTATTAGATTTTACATTAACTTCAACGATATCATATCCAGGGAAGCTCATCTTTTTTTGGTTAAAGTCAGAAGTAATGCAAATCTCCAACAAGATTTTCCATGATTAGTCACATTTGCAATTCAACAAATAAGCAATATGCACAGAAGAAATTGCGTCTTGCTAGAAAACAAGGTATAATCGTCTGCTTATAAAATTAAAATGGTTTTTTCGTCTTTCCTACTACCATAGACTATTAAGATCTAAGCTCTTGTTTGGGCTCCATTATTCCACATTTTAA